CCCCGGCATGGGAGGCGGAGGTGGCGGAGGTGGGGGTGGAGGACCATTGAAACCTTCAATTTTTGGCGGTTTAGTAGACGCGGGCTCATCATTTGGCGTTTTCGGGGAGTCTGATTCCAGACTTGGATGTGAAGGCCCTGTTGTGACTCCATCGCCATCTCCATCGCCATCTCCATCGCCATCTCCATCGCCATCTTCGTCTTCATCATCACTAGCATCGTACCGCTTGACTTTCGAGTTGATCTCATCCAAGTATCCGGGTGTTTGCTTGGGCCGCTTCATCTCAACAATACGAGGCTTCTCGTAAATGGTATTGTCTTCGTCTTCCGTCTCCTCGGCCAGCAATTGTTGAGAATTAAGAGGTTTCCTCGGGATTTTGGTGTTTCTAGCAACAGTACCAAGCATGCTGTTCGCAAAGTCTCTGGGTGTAGTACCGTTATTAGCAATAGCTCCGGTCTCTTCTCCGTCCATTTCCTCACGAAGCGCCCGCAATCTATCCGAAGGACCCGCAGCAGCATCGCCCCAGACTCTACCTTCCAGCTTGTACTGAGTCTTTTGACGCTCGAGTTGCATTTCAAGTCGATCCATGAGCCTTTCTCGGTCAAGTATGCCTTTCATTTGGGTCGGATCTTTCTCTCCCAATGCGTTACTTGCGCCCTTGGCAGCATTGGAAGCTGCAATGTCTTGAGCGTCACGGAGCATTAGATAGAGCTCTCTCGTTTCTAACTCAGAACGTTGGGCCTCCTTGGTACGGAGGTTTTGTGCGTCCGCTAGCTCGCCTTTTAATGAACCTATTTGCCTTGCCTGAATCTTGATAACCTGAGCTTGCTCCTCGAGTTGCTTTTGCAATTTTTCTACCAAACCATCTGCACCAAGCTCAATTTGGGATTTCATCTCATCCCGCTCGGCCATAGCCGAGTCAGCAATTTGACGTGCTTCAATTGACTCATCGAAGGCTTGACGTGCTTCTGAGTCGGTATGAAGCTTGTCGAGCAAGCTTTGAACAGTGAAATTAAGGCTTTGCTTGAGATCCATGTCTGGTAACCGCCTGTCCATAGCAACATAACTAAGCATCGAGTCTACCAGTTGAAACATTCGTAACTGTTCCTCTCCATCATTTTCACGCATGAGCAATAGATGCTGCAATGCAGAAACAAAGTAGTCCTGCGTCCTACTGCCTTGGACTCTTTGCATGATAGCATCCACGATTTGAACGGGGTCGTTGAGATCTTTTACCTCGCCTTCTATACCTTCTTTCATGCTGCTATTCTCCCGGTCAAGAAGATCCTCGTAGTCGATGGCTTCATTGGTACGGAATCGCTCGATTTGCTTGTCTATGATATCGTATTGGAAGCCTTCCATCTTCGTCAAAATACGTTTGATGCCACATGCTGTAAACTGCGCCCGGATATGGACACGAAGCTGCAAGTCCTTTTCAGGGGCATCGACAATCATATTGATGAGGAACAAAGTTGCCACGGCGTATTCCATCAGGAGGTTCTCCATTCCAATACCACCGCTTCGTAATTCTTCGCTAGCTCCCACGAGACTGCCCATCTTGCCTCGGCCATCAATGGTGACTTCCACCACCCGCATCCATGCATCGAATCGGCCATTCTCTCCCTGGGAATTTTTTACGTAGTCCATAGCCTGGATAACTTTGAGATGGCCCTGACCATCCGCCCAATGACATAGAAACGTCATTACCTCACTAACGAGCTTTCTAGTCGTCAATCTAGGTGAGATTAAAGAGGTTGCCAATGCAACAATGACCTGTTGATGGGTTAATGCATCATCGGCGCCGTATTTGTTGTTCATTAGAGCCTTTAAACATTTGACAATGTCGTATTCTCGGTCGAGATCCTTTTCGCTGGTTGATCCATCCGCTGGTGCTGGCCCTTGAGCTTGTCGTCGATTTATCTTCCCAAGTACATTTGTGAGAGCTACCTGACCTTGGCATTCTACAAATATCTTGACCCATCCAATAGGTTGTGTTCGAAGGCTGACAGCCAGACTCTGCAGCTGCTTTGCAGATATGCTATTGTCCATGACTTTCTTGACAAACCACTCTGGTGTACCTTCTTCCTCGGCATTGGCAAGCATATCCATAGCGCTCCCGTACTGCCCAGGTGTCTTGGTAGTTGTCCTTCGTTTTTGCTCCCCTTGCCATTCCGTCAATCGATCCTGATGTACCAATGTCCATTTCTTAGCAGGCGGGTATGCCATCATTTGTCGTCGCGCTTGGTCTGGCAAGTTGTGCCATCCTCGCTTTTGCATCAGAGCTAGGAACATCTCCTCCACTACCCTGTCATCCGTTGGCTTGTTCATGCTAAATCCATCTTGGCCCTGCCCAGAAGAAGGTGAGTTGAATCCAGACACATGGTGATGGGGAAATTTGGTTAGTCGGTGCGATTCGCGATGCGTTGCATGTGAGGGAGACAAATTATTCGAGTAGGGAGTTTGCATCGCAGTCTTCGATGAACTGGCAGTAGAGAAGATACTCGAGCGCTCTGTACTCGAATCGATGCTCGATTGGTCGAACGAACTTCTTGCATAAGCAGATGACTGGTTTGTAGAGTACGAGTCGTACCTTGGATTATGCGTCGTGCTTGCCCCGCTCGCCCTGCCGGGTCCCCATTGCTGTAGTTGTGTTGCGCGATTCCCAGTGGAGGCCATTGTTATGTTCCCACCGCCAGGTGCAGGGCGCGGTCCTGATGGGTGAGAGGAGCCATTTGGTAAAGTCGCTGGGTCGAAGGAGGGATACTGGTGATAATCGCCCCCGCCTTTGTTTAGATGATGGGGCAGAGGTTCTCTGGCATCCCTCCGAACAGGCATCTGATCGTTTCTGGGTAGGTAGTCGACCGATATTGGAGATTTACCGTCTACCGTGACGGTATCGTAAGGAATCGATGTGATAACTCCGGCCATTTGGTTAATCCCTCTCAGATCTGCGCCAGGCGAGTCAGGGCGCTCTAATGATGCAACGGACGAGTTTCTCATATGCCGTGACGAAGACGAAGTTCGTGATCCAACTGAGCCTAATTTTTCTAGATCCCCTCCCAGATATTTACCCTCATCACTGGGATTCCTCTTATCTTTGTCCTTCTTGTTGCTCCTGGAAAAGAAAGACTTCCCGGCAGATGACTGCCTCGACTTGGTGTCCGCCATGGCGGAACAATAGCGATTGAATTAACTCGGGGCCTACTCCTGGGTATCTGGTCGCGCCGGCCTGTGAGTCGGTTGTCTTGCGTTTGTTTATCTCCGTCTCAGGCCCGAGTATATCGCATCATGTCTCCTCGGAGTCGTGTGAGTGGGGAGGATCAAGATATTCGGAGTGTCTAGAAATATCCTGCATTAGAGGGCGGGTTAGCATGACGATCAATGATCCTGCTACGCCTGGGGAAGTAGTGCAGTATAGAGGACTTACCCTCGTTGCACCAGAAGAGCAAGATGCTGTACGTACGCGCAATACACACGCTGTTGATGCCGAGTCACCAACGCAAACAAGTGCCAGCCCTGGAGAAATTGGAGTAGCGTATTATAGATAATACCGAAAGGGGCACAAATGCAGAATCTGGAGAAAGACGGTCGTGCTATCGCCGATGGATTGACCCCTGGGGCCTGTTCGGTGGCGGTGGATGGTGGTGGATGGTGGTGGCAGGCGAAAGCTGAAACAGCTCAGTCACTTCAAACACCTTCCTGGCACATTGAAAGTACAGCCATGCAGAGGAAGTGAGAGACAAAGCATGCAAAAAGAATGGGAATTTAATTTGTACCGCAACCGTATTTCCAAGCAAGAAGAGGAAGGAAATTGTGTGAATTAATTGTGTAGCTACGGTACGGTACGGTAAGGTAAGGTACGGTAGGACGGCATTCTGGGTCTGGTCTGCCTGTATGGCATCTGTACTTGGTAGTACTCGGTAGGCTACGCGCTTAATAAGCGGCCTTGGCTTGGCTTGAGCTTGAGCTTGAGGTTACTTTTACTTGTACAGTATACTTTAGTAGCGGCGGAGAAACCCCTGAAACGAATAAGAGAGAACGAAAACAGTCCGAGAATAGCTGAATACCAGGTCCGGTCAGCCTTTGTTACTGTACTCACTCACCCACTCACTCACTCCACAGTGAACAACAGGACAAGACGACTTCACCTACACTCACTCACAGTCTTTCATGCAATTATCTCTCTGACCGCATCCTTATCATTATGATTATTGGTGACACCTGGACACTATTCATGCAACAAGGCTAGGTACTGTACCGACCTCGAACATCGCCGTCCCCCGAATGCAGAACGCGTGGCAGCAACCTCGTGCTTCCAGACTTACCAGAGCTGCTGAAGGAGACGTCTACATTCCTCACCCTGCCCCAAACGCCGCAACAAACGACGAGCCCTCCAAAATGGGAGCTACACTGTCGCTTCTAAAGGCAGGCTTCTCTATATCCATTTCTAACCACATCTGACGTCTATAGACTCTGCTCATTCCCGCCATCATCTCCCTCATCCTCTACCTCTTAATATCATACCTTATCGTACCAGCTTGGAAACGGTATCGGAACAGGTATAGCCAATACCTGCCATTAGATGCAATTTCTACACGAACGACATCTTTCCGGCAGCGGATACAGAGTTCGCTGGCAAGGGCTCTACTCCCCGCTGCGTGGAGGGAACAATTCGGACGAGGCCGGCCTTCAGTGAACGGTCATGATGGCTCCGGCAGTGACTTTGATGAGGATGAAGGGGAGGAATTGTATGATGTCGACGATAACCGGCGACAGGCGCTGTCGTTAGATGCTCGCAGAGCGAGAGACGACGTTGGGAGGCGGCTAAGTCGGGATTTGGAGGAGGGATTCAAGGATGATAGCGATGATGAGGACAACGTACCGGATGATCGGAGGAGGAGCATATCACGATGAGATGGAAGAACACAGAAATGCTTCATTACAAGTCCACTAAAACATCCTCAAACTTGTCGACTCCGATTACCGAAACGCCTCCGCTGGATGCAATTGCACGGTGAAACCTCCAGAAAACAAAGTTGATACCAACCTAACCAACACCATGCGCCATATACAGTGTGCACAGCTTCACCACTCCTCCCTATCCTTCTCAAGCTCCGCATAAATAGCAGCAACCTCCTTCTCCCCCTCCCTCTTCGCTGCCCCGATCCTAGACTCAACAGTATCCATCCTACACAACCCTACGAACCCCGGGAACCAAGACCTCAACCCCTCCAGCGCCCTCTGCACCGCCATCTGCCGCTCCCTAATAACCCTGACCTGCTCTTCCAGCGCGCCTTCTCCCCTACAACCCAAACACAAGTCCGGCATATCTTGCTCGCGCACACATCTTGGAGCCCGCGCAACTTCGCATGGCTTGACGGCGTGCCCGCACCCGCGATATACCATCCGGCGACGACACAGAGGGCAAGAGCGGTTGTTGAAGTGGGAGAGCCAGCGCGTTATGCAGATGCTGCCGAAGGTGTGCGAACAAGGCAGGACTAACAGTTTCTCTGTCCGTCCATCCGAACGAGGGAGATCTAGCGTTTCGCTGCAAATACTGCAGCATCGTTCGGCCGTTTCCTGGTGGTGGTGGGGAAGGAGCAAGGGTATTTGTTGTAGGATTTGTATATCCATTTTGGTGGCAGGTCTACCTAGTCCGGTCTGTACATTAAATTTGGCTCGATATATGGTTCAGTGCTTCGGATGTTCCCAAATGAGTGAGAACCGAAGAGCTAGATATCAAGGTTTCTTCGTTGGAATTTTCTCCTTGAAACACTACGTCGTCATGACTGCAATCAGGCAGGCTAGTCAGTCATTGATATACTTGAATTCCGCAAACATCCAACCACCCCCACCACACCACGCGCCTCCTGACAACCTTGCAATGAACATCTCACTACCCAGAATCAAACAAGAAACCAACCACATGCTATACATACACCGCCCGCCAAACCCCACGCGATAAGCAAGCCAGTTGATATAATCATCCCTTCCTTCCAGATCCTCATTACACTTACTCACCCACACTACTCCGTAGCCCAACAAATCTTTCTAGATCCTAAACCCCATAGCATAAACAAACTTCAACACATAATGAACATCTCACTTCAAAAACACCATCCATCCTTTCATCTATCCATATAAAATGATCTTTGAACTGACTCTTTTTAGACATGAAAAGTTAGGAAAATGACTATATAAGAAGTGGTGTAGATAACGTAGGTCTAAGGTACTCTGTACAAAATAATGCATTGGTGCGCTTAGGTCATGCGCGAAGAAGGGGTGCGGATGACCTTGTGCGCGTGATGTGACAACGATAAGGAGGGGAAAGGGGGGTGTGGCACGTGACTATGTATTTCACGCGGAAGTGGAACATATAAAAACGATCCAAGACTTTTTTCTAGCACAACTCTACACGCTACCATTGCTAGATAGTCACTTCCAATGGCTCGACAGTTGCAGTGCTCTATCTGCTGTTTCAGCTTCTCGACCGGAGGTGGCTAGGTTGGTATTGAACTGAACTGAACTGACGACGACCTGCTGCAGGCTGGGTGTATTCCTTTTCACTGTCGAGAGGATCTTTGTTGTCAAAGTGATGTTTCGTTCATTCATTCGTTGACACCTTCCGACGGGAAACGTGCAGCGCAAAGCTGCGGATGTATGTATGTATTGCTTTCCATTCGCATAGATTGTTCCTTCACGGACATGATGCACGTAGTCATGTACATTGTAATGTATACCTTCCATAGGTGTTTCGTGAAATTGTTCTCCAAACCTCTCCTTGGCAGTAAGGTTGGTCGAACAAAGAGCGAGAGAGAAATATATACATCGCTTCACTGCGGAGTCACGCCAGAGTGAATATCGGGGGTGGTTAGAGATATATTGTTGGAATGGTCACTGGTGTTCCCGGTACTGTTTGACAGATGTCATATACATCTATACATAGTGTACAATAAACTTACAGGGCGTTTTCCTCTTCATCCTTTCCGACGAGCTCTCGTTTTGGTATCTATATAGCATTGGTTGCTTGACGCAGTCCGCTTGCTCTGTCGTCATTTTCAAGTCGCTGATCAAGATGTTGCTTCTCATCTCGATTGCGTTGAACCTCAAGATGATATCTCACTGGGCTGCTCAAAATTCGTCGATTTCTTTGCAGTGAAAACAACCACAACCACGAGTAAGACGAGCCCAATCATTTACAACGGATGGTTTTTTGAATTGAATCTTGACACCCAAGAACTGAGCATTTTACGGTACAAGGTCTGGAATGCAGACGACCACAATATGGCTTGCGAATCTTTGAGGAATGGCATCAGAACCCACAAGAAATGTAAATAGATGCCCTTCATCTTCGTATTCGACGCTTCTGCAGAAGCATGGGCTGATGTTTTTGAGATAATGCGGCTCAACTCGGACCTCATATCCCGTCGGTAGCAGCATACTAACATGCAGGCGAGTTGTCATCGACCTCAATCTGTTCCTTTACTTCGTACGATTCATGTTGTAAGCTAAAGGGCAACAGCCATCATGACCGTAAGAGCATGATTTGGCAAGTTCGCAAAGCAAGCACAACCTGAAGTCAAACAGAACATATATACTCGTATATATCCCCCAGTAAGGCCGGTATCCTAGAATGATGCACTTAACTTAAGTACTTCTCAGCAACAGAAAGATACATAAGAAGCTCAGGATCTAAGAATATACTGGATTATATTTTCTGAAGCCAAATTTGCCTGTAAGCACAAGTATGTTCTCGAATTTGTTTGAAAATGCGGTAAAAGCAAACGTCGTAGCAAACTTCAGTTCTGTCTCTCGCGATGTCTGGCAGTGTGCTCTTGGTATTTGTCACGTTGGCACGTTGATCACTGAGTCTGAGGAGTAAAGTTTTGAAGCATCAGCTACCGGTATTTCTGTCTTCTAGACATTACCTTCAAGGATTCGATTCAGAACAAAGCAAGTAGCCAGAATCAGCACTGTCTCAAACCCGCTGCTTTGGCTAAGTTATCTAAAACGGATGATTCTTTAGCATTGCTATTGGAAGGTTATTTTAGCGGTATCTACTGGTTGTAATTGATTGATTCTTAATTTTGAGTCCCTCAACTTCAACTTGATGCGGTTTTGACATATTCACTTAAGTGCCCCGCTCTACCATCTTACGCTTGCCTTTC